ATAAATATAATAAAATAATTTATTAACTACTGCATGCAACTGTAGTATGAGAGCAGACAATTATTTTTAGAAAGTAGGCTATTAAAGTGTATATAATCTTTTTATTACCTACATCTGGAGTAAGCTTTTAGAAAAGATGGGTCAAGCATAAAAAAGCTACTGAAAAATTTTACATCCATAGAAAGTGGAGAGTAAATGATCCATAAAATGTTTATACATAAGATCAGCCTGGATAATCTTCCAAACAAGTCAACCAACAAAACCTTCTGTACCATGGGTGTGGCCAATTAACAAAGTCAATAGTGAAGTTTTACTTGCAGAGTTTCATTTGTATGCATCCATCCTAAAAGCTCAAAACCAGAGTCCCAAAGTTTTATGGGGAGAGAATCGCTTAAAATGGGTTATCAGGCTGAGCTGAATACCAAAAGTCATCTGCAATGCTGTCATGTTGAACAAAGAGTTTCAAAGTCTCTTTCCAAGGCCAATACCAATTGACAGAAATTAATTACAAGCTACACTTAGGAAGTCCTATTTTAAACTTCAAGCCAGCACTACAGTGAGTACTCTCCAGAATCTAGCATTTTACATCCCTGTCCTGGTTTTGGCTGGAATAGAGTTAGTTTTCTTCCTAGTAGCAGGCATAGTGCTGTGTTTTGGATTTAGTAGGAGAAGAATGTTGATAACACTGATGTTTTAATTGTTGCTAAGTACTGCTTATGCTAGTCAAGGACTTTCTCAGCTTCCCATGCTCTGCCAGGTGCACAAGAAACTGGGAGGGGGCACAGCCAGAATAGTTGATCCAAACTGACCAAAGGGCTATTCCATACCATGTGACATCATGCTCAGTATAGAAACTGGGGGGGGTTGGCCAGGGAGCAGCGATCACTGCTTGGGAACTGTCTGGGTATCGGTTGGCAGGTGGTGAGCAATTGTATTATGCATCACTTGCTTTGTATATTATTATTATTATATTGTTACTATTATCATTACTATTTTACTTTATTTCAATTATTAAACTGTTCTTATCTCAACCCAGGAGTGTTTCTCACTCTTACTCCTCCGATTCTCTCCCCCATCCCACCGGGGCAAGGGGAGTGAGCGAGCGGCTGCATGGTGCTTGGTTGCTGTGTGGGGCTAAACCACAACAATCCCTAAGACACTACACTCAGAAGTCAGAGAAAGCAACAGCATTTAGCTTTAGAAGAGTACAGATGATCATATTTACAATATATAAAAAATGCAGAAACTCTGGTTCCCTGTTCTTTGCTTTAAAACAATCCTCAAGTTTTAATCCTCAAGTTTCAGTTTTTCAAGATGCATATACTTAATATGCATCTGTCACCCCAATTTAGCATAAGCCATCAGCGCTATGGCCCATCAATTAAACTGCAAGCTGCAATTGGTACCTACCAGATTCCCCTGTGTAGCGGATATTCTGGAATTCTGCATAGAAAACTGCTTTCTCAAGCATTCCCAGGAAGATAACAGCACCAATCCAGAACTGGATCCTCAGGAGATCCCGCCAGTAACAGGCTGACCATGCAAGCCACAGAACTCCGAAGAATACGTACACAATGCACATCACCATGAAAAACTGTTACACAAAAAGAAGCAAGAAATAGGAACCTTAGACCCAGGAAAATAATTTCCTTGTTTCCACTCCACAGCTGTAAAATAGCTATATTTTCTCCCTAAGTATAACAACTTTTGAAGTTTTTATATACAAAAGTGACTAGAAATAAGCATTGCTTCGTTTGTCTTCTCTGGATTCTTTTACAGTGACAGTCTAATTTCTCGCTGCCAAAGGGAATCAGAGTAAGTGAATTTCTGAGCAATTTCTCTCTTGAAGAGCAGTCTGCCAATTTATTCACGTGCAATTTTTCTAAGGAAGATAACAAGTGCTACTAGCTTTCAAAAACTCATGTAAGAGCTCAGGCTCTTAATCATCAAGTACTAGACACTCTGCCCCTTCTCACATATTATTCTATTACTAACTTCATCGTACATTTACAGTACTCTGCAAAGAAGCTTACAAGTCACCTTTACACACCATTGCACAGAATAAAGATAAATAACTGATGGTTGTAATCCCTCTGTTCAAATAATTTGACAACTTCTCTAAAAAGTTAATTTCCAGCAAACTCAGTTTTTGACCAAGCTTTAGATCAGCCAAAAATCTGGAACTGAAAAAGAAACCGAGATACTCATTTAAATATTATCATTCTGCAATTTTTTTTTTTTTCCTTCCCAGTCCAGTGTTACTTGCTTTGGAAGAACTTTCAGGGTATATGTCTCTTACGGCAAGCAATAAGCTTGACAATACTACTCAGTGCTGAGCTTTCTAAATGGCAGCACCGTAACAGAGCAAGTTAAGTTTTCAGTAAGGACACTGAAATTAACAAGAGGATTAAGAAGGACAGAGTAAAACATTAACTGAATAGCAGGAAGTACTTTGCCAAAGTATAGGACAGTAATAATCAAGGAGTCTCTCCTCTTGCAGAAGGTAATTTTTTTTTTTTTTTTTTAAACCAAGCAAGCATTGAAGTTAGCTGCACAATCCGTTGAAGCTTTTACAAACTGAAAACAGCTTCCTTAGGAGAACAGCTTACTGATCCTTACAGATTTTCACGTCTGACTAGTCCATGAAGTTCGAACAGTAAGGGCCTAGGCATGCTAGTTCACATTCAGATGCTCCATTACAGAAACATTTCGACAGAGACCTTTTTCTGGACCTGCCACATAAGGATATTCACATTAGTGAATTACATGTCAACAGAGCTGTGGGAGGCTTTTTACTTCTGTCAGGCTTTCCTATTTACAGGCCACTCTTGCCAATACAGTCAGGCTAGAGACATTACTTGTTATTGATTGCCAGCTGAAGTTTGTCTACACTACGTAAATATTTAAGTTCTTTTATTTTCTTAGCTTCCTGGACAGAGGCAACTAGCAACCAAATCAACAACTCCTTTGAATAAAAAGCTTTTGTAGTTCAGCCATGCTTTCACTGTTAGGCAGTATTAAGGACCTCCTCATGGGGTGTAAGACAGCTGGTGGAGGAAGGAAGATTAAGCTGTAAAAGAACAAAGCAAGCAGTGACAAATGAAAGGGTAGCTGTAAACAAAAGCATAGAATAGAAAATTTGCTAAGATACAAGCTAAGGAGAAAAACAGTGTCCGTAAAACTGCTCAGTTTTGAGCTAATGACACTGATAACTTCTGGAACTACAAATTGACAGGCATCAAGTCAAACAATCCAGAGAAGGACAACATCAGTGGCACATGCAAATGTCTGAAATCTACATCTGTTTTCCCTACCTGGTATTTAGTACCAAAAAAAAAAAAAAAATCCACCCCCAAAAACCCCCACCAAACCAAAAAACATCCTCTGCTAAATTATTTTTTTTCTGAGACACTGGCTTTGTGTTTCCTAAAGTATGGAAGGAGAGTATTTAATTGAGATTCAAATCAACTGACAACTGTATAGGGCAAAGAAAAGCTCTTTTACTTACAATCATCAGAGGATAGTCTGCAAGTGAGAGATACTCATATGGCCCCTTCAGTTCTACTGTCACTGTCAAAAGACAATCCAATAACCAAATTGAACAACAACCAAAAGAAGCAAACCAGGATAAAGTACTTAACTGATTTTCACTCAAGCATAAAGAAATTCCAAATCTTCACATAGCTTTTAAATCTAGCTCGCACTTTAATCCGAGAAAGTTAAGTAAGACTCATAATACACTCGGCTAAAAGCATGCAATTAAAATCACACACTCCATTACCAAGTAACTCATGGCAGTACTTAAAGTAATTTGTGCTGGAGATTCATGCGTAACAGGAAAGTTCAGAAACACACGTAAGTTAACTTTTTAAGGGGATTTTCAAACTTTTCTAAAGTGTGGATAGGTTATCAATGCACTGTTAGATATACTATAATATAATTTCAAGGTGACAATTATGATCTTTGTATTCTACATGATTTGAGCTTATTAATATAAATCACTGCATTGGTCTGGACATTTTTGAAACACAACACCAAGCCTCAAAATTGAACTGCTTGGGATTCTTCTTTACTTCCATTATTAAACTGACAGAACAACAGCCTTCAGATCTTCAAGACATCAACAATCACTGATTTTCTTATGATAAGAAATAGTTGTAGAAGGCAATACTTACATCTATGTGATAGTGTCTTATGGAAATAACCATACGGTATATATTAAAAGTACCTTAGAATACACTCAGACTGGTATACATAAAAAATGGTAGTATATTTTTGGTTTACTGTATAAACAGGTAACTTACTTGTAAAGGGCTTATTTTGATATGAGGAAGATGTTGGGTTCACCATTTTTCTAGGTTGGGTAGTAGAATCCTTCGCAGTTGTAATTCCAATTTGCACAATAAATATATACGGCCCATCTCGCCAAGTTTTGATAACAGCGTTCATTGCCTGAAAATAAAATTTCTACGTGAAGACAGCGCATAGTCAAGACGACACAAAAAAGAAGTAGACTCGCCATACTGGGTAATATCTTCCATGTAAAAATAAAGTTCATCTCTTCCCAGGCCTAAAACTTGTTAAAAAATATTTGATACGTAAATTTTAAATCTTTTTATTAGACATAATACTTAAAATCTAGTTGTTTGAATCCAGAAGAATCCTCAAAGACCTGGGAGGTGGTCACAGCTTATTTGCAAATTTAATACTGCCTTACTGCAAGAGTCATCTCAAAGGTACTGCAAAAGCTACAAAGAATTCAGCAAAGCATCCTATTCCTTGTTTTCAGTCTAGAAGTATTAGGAGACCATCACAGAGATGCTACTTTCCTCCCAAAATCAACTGTTTGGCAACATCACAACTACATATAACTCAGCTCCCTGGTGAAGGCTGAATTTTATAGTGTAAGATAGAAGAGGTAGCTGAGAAGTACAAAATGTCCATAGTAGTCATTTCCTGTGGAAACTACTACTGCCCCTGCAACAGCTCTCACACCTATAAGACTCAAACCCTGCCAGCGAACTAACAGAGGAAATTTCCCCAGATAAATATTTGCACCATAAAACAAATCAGAGATTTGAGTTCCAGCATACAAAACTGTTAATTCCACAACTGAAGAAGTTCTAGCCAACTCAGAAACTGCAATATTTACCAATTAGTCTTAGTTTTAATCTTAAAGTTTATCTACATATATGCCACTCACATGACCACTGCAGAACTACCACAAAGACTTTTTTTATAATGGCCTCTCCAAGAGAATTTCAGTATCAAAGGCATGCATTTCTTTTAAGAAACCTCCTGGCTACAAGACCTAAAGCCAACAGAAATTTATGTATCAAAAGAAGATTATGCTGATATTGACTGTATTTTAAAGATTTAGTTAAAAACACAGTAAACTTAAAAGAAAATGGATTTTTTTTTTATACACTAATTTTGCTTTAAAATATCTCCATTTCTTGCTGCGTTGATTCCTTATTTCACAATTGCACACACAGCTATTTATGTTTCAGTTTTAAGGTAAATGGCCCTGTAAGTATGCAGGGAGTTAAATACATTTTCTTTGTTGGCATCCAGGACATTCAATTTGAAGTTATTTTGACAACAGTTCCTGGTTAGAGCTTGAACATAATATATAATAAAAATACTAACAGATTTGAAAATCAAAAATAATCACTCAACTTGTTAGGGACAATGTTTTAAAAGACTGACTAGTTAAAGATGAAACTAAATGTAATCGCTAAGTATTAGTCACACTTAAAGCAGATCTTATCAATGATTACTTTAAATTACTATGAAAAAAGAAATTTATTTTTTAATTTATACCAGTTTGAATGGTATGAATTCTATATTTCACATCTAGCAGCCAGTTACTCTGTTACTGTTTTCTGTTTTTCCACACAGTACTACCTAGTTTCGAGCTAAAAAAAAAAGAGAATTGCGCCATCCCTGTAAATCTACCAGTAATTTCTTATAGAAAGAAATGTAAATTAAAAAAAAACCCAACAACAAATTAAGACTGCTGGATTCCAAGCCATGTTTAAATTCAATATACATACAGTTTTATCTGCCACCATTGTGTGATTTCCTCCACTCTCCTTCTTATCTTTTAAGCCCTTAAAGAAAAACAGAAAAGTTGATAAATCAATATGCCAAAACTATCTCTTCCATGCCTACACTCACTCATTAAAAGGAAAAAAAAAAATTTACCTCTTGTTTCTCAGGTGAGAGAGGCTCTGGATGAACAAATTCTTTATAGAAAATCTGCAAGATACAAGAACAGTAGAGCATTTACAGGCACTTTATATTAACATGACATTACCAGAACAGCTTCCAGTAAACTTCATTATAAGGAAAGATTCTCTGAACAGCCGTATTAGAGAGCTTTCATTTTTCTAAATCAAACAACTGTCCATTTGTGGAGGGAATCTTGAATACTTAAGATTAGTATTTTGTCATGTGAGATTTGCTTCCCCCCCTCTCAGACAGCAGGTGTCTATTTTTAGAACTGGACCCACAGACATGACAGTAGTGAAGTTAATTGTATTTTCCAAATATTAATCTGTTAGCCATCTCCATTAGTAGATTAAGTCTACTCAGACAGAAACAGGATTTGGATATTTCTACCTTAGTCTATGCAAAAAAAGGTCCCTAGATGAGTGGGTGCCTATTAGATATCCAGATTTTGCCAACTCTCCCGAACTATGGTGACTTGAAATCCAGTGAAACTGCTATACCACAAGAAAAAAACTGAACAATCAAAAGGAGAAATTTCTATGAAACTTCAAAAACTAATATCCGAGAGAAATACCTTCTGTTAAAATTTCAGTAGACTTCTCAAAGTAATTGGAGGAAAAGCATATTGGGTTTGCATAGCAAGGTTTTGGTAGCAGGGGGGCTACAGGAGTGGCTTCTGTGAAAAGCTACTAGAACCTTCCCCTATGTCCAACAGAGGCAATGCCAGCCGGCTCCAAGACAGACCCACCGCTGGCCAAGGCTGAGCCAATCAGCGATGGTGGTAGCGCCTCTGTAATAACATACTTAAGAAGGAGGAAAAATAACCCAAAAAACACGACACAAACTGCAGCTGGAGTGAGGAGTGAGAATATGCGAGAGGTTCCCCTGCAGCCCGTGGTGAAGACCCTGGTGAGGCAGCTGTGCCCCTGCAGCCCATGGGGGTTAACAGTGGAGCAGATATCCACCTGCAGCCCGGGGAGGACCCCACACTGGAGCAGGTGAATGTGCCTGAAGGAGGCTGTGACCCTGTGGGAAGCCTGCACTGGAGCAGGCTCCTGGCAGGACCTGTGAAGAGAAGAACCCACGCTGGAGCAGGTTTGCTGGCAGGACTTGTGACCCCACGGGGAACCCATGCTGGAGCAGTCTGCTCCTAAATGACTGCACCCCGTGGAAGGGACCCACGCTGGAAAAGTTCATGAAGAACTGTAGCCCGTGGGAAGGACCCACACTGGAGAAGTTCATGGAGGACTGTCTCCCGTGGGAGGGACCCCATGCTGGAGCAGGGGAAGAGTGTGAGGAGTCCTCCCCTGGGGAGAATGAACGGACCGCAACCCCCATTCCCTGTCCCCCTGTGCCGCTCAGGGCAGGGGAGGAGGTAGAGAGGATTGGGAGTGAAGTTGAGCCCAGAAAGAAGGGAAGGGGGTGGAAGGTGTTTTAAGATTTGGGGTTTACTTCTCATTATCCTACTCTGATTTGACTGGTAATAAATTAAACTGATTTTCCTCGAGTCGAGTCTGTTTTGCCCATTACGGTAATTGCTGAGCAATCTCCCTGTCCTCATCTTGACCCACGAACTTTTCATTATATTTTCCCTCCCCTGTCCAGTTGAGAAGGGGAGTTATGGAGCAGCTTTGGTGGGCACTTGGCCTCCAGGCAGGGTCAACTCACCACAAAAAGTCACTTAGGCTTTTAAAACCCCAGTTTCACCAACCTGAACGTTCAGTTAAGATGCCCAAGTTCACATTACACAGCTAAACTCACAAGATCTCTTCTATAAAACCAAGTAGAAGTAGAACTGACATTTGTCATATTATTAAACATAAAAAGCAGGCAGCATACAGATTATTTTAAAAAACCTTTCAAGCCATCTTTGCATATCAAAGGAATTAGAGACATGTAAACAGATTATTAAAACCCCTTTTCAAGTCACCTTTAGGCATGTCTTTTTTATTAAAAAAAAAACAAAACCCCCACAACACTAGGTTCAATAGTTACAAGACATTTCCCAGTATTCTCTATCCACAACCCTTTGTCATCTAAATCAGAAATGGCTGAATACAGATGCAATACTGCACAATTTGCCTTGAATTCTTAAGTACACCATTAAAGAAAGACAGTGTGTTATATTGACACTGTCCTTAGTATGATTGCTCAGCTTCACCTGGTGATACACAGCTGGTGTAGAACCTATGTTTGCACATTACTTCCCTATGCTGTTTTGCATTGTCTTCTCTCTTCCATTTGATTTGTTTCAAACATGTTTTTAGCACTACTTATTTTTCACTTTTAGTCTGCTATCAGTGCTTAAGTAATCCATTTCTCAACACACTTTCATTTCCATTATTATAAATGAACATTATCTGAGCAAAAAATGCCAGTCCTTTACCAACCCGCAGTTAGTGGGAACTTCACTCTGCTGCCAGATTCACACCTCTACTCAACTAGCATTGGCCTTCTGTAAGTGAAACAAATTCAGAACAGAAAGCCACATACAAAAAGAAGCACTGAACTTTACAGTGTTCTCCCCCCCTGCCATGGTGGGCCACATGTTGAATAGCAAGCAAAACTAAATAAAGCAAAATTAAGAAATCATCATTGCAGTTTGGTTGTCATAAACAAATAAAAACAAGTACCTCCCAACCCACAGTGATACTTACATAGGATGCTAACACATCTAACAGGAACTACCAACCACCTTCTCTGTATATCATATGAGAGAACAGAGCAAACTGTGAAGTTTCTACACACACCTGAGGCCTGAAGAGCTCAGAGCAATTTGGAAAGAGGAGAGAAGCCGTGGCATAGTATCCTGACCAACCCGGATGCTCTTCAGACGTAGCCCCAAAATAGTACTCTGCCTGTTCATCCTGCCAAACATAGAACAGAACTTAGGTTAGCATCCAATATACCAAATGGTTTACCTCAGTAGGCAGCTGCGAGACCTGGAAAGCACCATAACTTCCCTCTGCACACACTCTGGAACAGAACTGAATAGGATAAAGGCCATCAAGACCACACAAGACTATTCTTCCTCAAAAAAAAGAAAAAAGAGGAAAAAAAAAAGAAAAACACACCAATACAGGCTTTGAGTAGAATTAATACCTAATTAAAAAAACCCACAAACCAGAAATCCCAGTATTCCTGCAGTGCAGGTGCAGCAGCCAGCATGCACTTCAGTCTACACAAAACACCTCTACATTACTATATTAAAGATTAAAGACTTCAGTACTGTTAGGTTAACAGTTACAACTTTCATAATTAATATTTTAAGTAAACATGGAAAATGTGTTAAACAGTATAAACCACAGTTGTGTTCTACCCCATTTAGTATAAACACTATACATTTTGTATAAATTGCTAATACTTGCAATATGCATCCATAAAGAACAGATTTTAGACTAAAATGAAAATACTCAATTTTTTCTATTTGCTGTCATTAAGCATTGTTGTAAATAATATCTTCATCTACCATAAACTCACACATTTCAGTTTACAGTTGATGCACTTACTTAAGCTTCTGGGATTAGAAGAATTCTGACAAACACTTCCACCTTACCCAAAACCCAGAAAAGTCAGTAATTCCAGCAAGCTGTGTATCAATTCCTTTCCATTCCATTCCCAATGGTCCAGAAATGTGTTATCTTCCAACGGAGGAATGTGCCTTTTAGGCCCAAAGAGCAATGAGGATGCAAGCAAGACATCTCCAATCCCCTCACTCCCAGATCTGCTTACCCCTAAAATCATAACCGGTGTTTTTCCACACAATTCTTACCCCAAAGTTGAAGACTTCATTGTAGCAGTCAGAATATCTTAAGTACCAAGTAACATTGTAACTTTGGGAGGGATCACAAGCTTTTTCATCGCCTTCAACTAAAAAAAAAAAAACAGATAAGAACATGTAAGACGCCCTCTACCCACCATGCTTTTCCTCCCATTCTGTGCCAAACTACCATAATTATATTTAAACATGAAACTGAAAGCAAAACAATAGAAAAATATTTTCCTCAAGTAATCCATTACTGTTCAGTGAAAGAAAGAAGCATGTAGAAAACAGAATTCCATTATAAGATTACACAATTCTATTCAAGAGCTGAAGATCATTTGGAAAATTTTTGTTCTCAAGACAATCAGGGATATTTCAGCAACTGCAAATACCAAACAAGAGAACAGCAGTGACTCCTAGTGATTACAATACACAAAAGCATTTCCCTTTCCAAGATATGTGGGGGACATAGGAGGTATAGAGAGCTAGGAACACGTTAATACTAGGGGCAATTTGCAAAGGTAATTTAAATATACCAATACCATCACCAAGAAAATAAATAAAAAGGTAAGATTTTGCAAATCAACAACTACCCCCCCACTCCCAGAAGACAAACAAGCCATCTATACATTAGCTCACTCTGTCGAAGCTGCAATGCTACCTAAAACAGCAGTAAGACAACTTTCCACTTTGATTTATTAGAGAACAGCATGCATGAAAAATGAAACACAAGACTTCCCCTTCCCCCCCTAAAAGCTTGTGTGATTTTTGTGTTTCAAATCTCATTCTGAAACTAAAGCCTGATGAAGAGAATTTGAAGTTAGGAAGGTAAGCTTCACCTGTAAACAAAATGAGCAGTGATTATTCAGAGTCTTGGAAGAGCCATTTAGATGATTGTGTTCGGGTTTTGACAGTCAACAGATGGCAAAACCCTTTCAAGTTGACAGCATGTTTCTAGTGGCTAGGAAATCCCCACACCTTCAGAGGCAACATTCATCTCAGACTAGCCACCCACAGATTTGTTACATGTACAGAGCTTTTAATAAATGTTTCCATATTGACCACTGCAGGTAAAAAAATGCAATTAGAAAAAAAAGACCCTGCCACGGAGTTTTAACTGACTAATCCCGCTTTAAACCCAATGACTACTAAAGCAAGTATATGTAGAGCTAAAAATTCAAAAACTGAGTCTCTAATACCAAAGATTAAAAAAAAAAAAAAAAAGATTGGAATGCAATCACTGAAAAATAAGAGTTTCCTTATGACACCTTCTGGCAAGCATGAAAACAAGGCATACATTCTCCACATAGCCCTAGATGTTGCAGAGGGCACAAAGAAACTAAGAGGCATCGCAAGCACTGCAATGGCATGGGTAGATGGCAAATTCTTATTAGACAAAGACTCTTCTGATAAAATTGATCAGATGAGGAACTTCTCAAAAAAGTGCTACCAAAAAATATAAGGTATTCAAAAATGCCTTTTAAATAGCTTTGTACCTATTAAAAATAAGATTATTGAAACTGTGTTCAGCAGTAACACCAACTAAAGGTAAAACAGGCCATGACTAGAACAATTTGCCAATATCCACAAACACCAAAATTACAGAAACCTTGAAAATGAAGTACTCTAAAAGACAGAAAAGGCATCCATGGAATTTATTGAATTCAGCAATGTGGAAATCTAAGTTCCTTTGCCTTCAAACAAAACAGGAACATTCAACTCAAATGCAGTCTTCGTACCCATTTACAGAGAGCAGGATTTCTACCGCAATCCTAGACAGGAAACCAGATGCCTTCTAGAATAGCACTTAAGAGGAGTACTAGATAAAAAATAAATTCATTATTGACAATACTAAACACCAGTGGCAGTCTTTCCAGTTAGAAACAGAAAGCATCAGACAACAATACACCACACACACACACAAAAAATCAAAAAATCAAGAAGGGGAAAGAGAAAGGAGGAGGTGGAGGAGGAGATGCAGGTGCTCATCAGAAACATGAACAACCCATGAGCAATCATGTTTGGCAAGAAGGGTCATATTGTCCACACAAACACCACAGAGCAGATGGAAGAGGCAACAGACAGCAAACAAAAGAGAGACCAGCTTCCACACAGACACAGGCAGAAAAGAAACAATATGTAAAGTTGAAGCTTCCCAGTATCAGATGCAGTTTAAGTATCATCCAGGCTGAGAAGCTGAAATTAAGTTCCTAGCCTTCGTTTCTTCCTCTTTCAGTGATTCATTACCTAAATTTGTGTAAATCTTTTAATCACACTGGTATGTAAAACAGGTGTCTTCACTGAAGAATTTTAAGGCTTAATGCCTATTTAAAGGCTGACAGCACAGTGTAGTTGAAGTCCACATCAGGAGCCAGGAGATCAAATTCTTACCGCCAGATCTGTCACAAACCTATCTTGTAACAAATAAATTTTATTTTCTCCATGCCTTAGTTCCTTCCTTCTCTCGGTTACTTCAGCTGTACCCCTCATGATTAGACTTACCACACACTTCACTGCAGGCACCCACGTCTTAGATGCCATGTTAGTATGAGAACACTATTTCTGTTAAACTTTAGACAACAAAGCCTAACACCTACCAAAGCTCCAAATGCCCTTTCAAACCCCCCACTCCTCCCCAAGCATCAGATTTCTACATTTTGATCCTGCAGCTGCACACCTGGCAATTGTCTTGCTGCAAGCCATGAAACTCGGCATTTAAGCTACACTTGACAAGCAGAAAAACCTTAACCCTGACATGATGGACCTTCATTAATAACCACTTTAATACTAGCCTCCTATTTCAGATTCATATGGGATTAATGGAGGCACTTTAACAAACTCCCTTTGAAACACTGTCCCAGGAAGGGCAGGTATCTGAAACTGAACCTGAAAATCAGTAAGTTAAGTACTAAACATGATACAGCACAGCAATATGCAATTTCATCAAGAAGCATCAGCTAATCCTCATGATACCTTAATTTTCTCAGTTAAAAAAAAAAGCATAATCACTGCAGCAACTAAGTCTTGAAGTGACAAAGGCACAGATCCCACTAATTGTCTCTAAAGTGACTTTTATTTCCTCATTTGACACAAGTGCAGAAAGGCATCCACAGGCACTGTAACTGCATAACTACCCAATTAGCAGCTGGAGATCAAACAGCTTCCCCCCATCCCCTGGTAAGAACTGGTGCAAACAACCCCTTAAAGTACTCAAGGTGCACAGGAAAGATTTCAAGCCTTTCTAAATCAGCTAGTCACTTCCACAAGTCACTTACATCATCTAGTTGCCATCTAAATGCTGTCCTCATGTTCACAGGTAACACAGTATTTTACAGAAACTGTCCTTTGGGTAGTAACCTACATAACCCATAGCCCTGGCCAGATCAGCAAAGAGCAATAAACAGAAAGAAGAAACAGGAAGGCTGCAAACATGTTTGCTCTGTAGCACACTCACATACTGTGATCAGGAGGAGAAAACAGCTCTCAAGAGAGCTCTGCCGTAGTGTGCAACAACATCCCCTTACCGCTCCCAGAAGAGCCCAGCTAAAAAGGAACAGGGCCTCAAAAAGCACTGCCTCCTGCACACTGGCATCAGTCACCCTGCAATACAAATAGCCCCTGTCCCACGTGGCACCAGATCTCCCAGCTGGAGGAATTTAGTATACCTTAAATAGGGAAAGCACACCTCACAGTAGGGCTCAACACATCCCACACCTGATTACCTGCTATCTGAGATGAAGTGGTGCTTCCATTGCCCATCTTGCCCTCTCTACAGAGGGTGTGAACAGAACCATTCATTTCTGCTACAGCCTAAACAGATCACAACTGGGAAGCTTCAAGGCTGTTAGCACACCCAAGCATATCAGAGCTACAGCTTTCATCCAGTGCTAGGACATTAGCTGTCACTGCAGCCAGCCCAGTTAACCACAGTGTTTTAAGTCCCAAATGTTAAAGTAGGGAGAGTGTCAAACAGCAGAGCGAGCAGGTTAATCCCTTGTAAGCACTTACATCTCAGGAAAATGGTGGTGTTGCTGAAAAGAATCTTCCCAAAGTTAAACTTCTTCCCCTGCAAAGGCACAAAAAAGGAAAAGATATTAGTGGTCTTAATGTCACTAAGCTTAAGTAAATATCATCTTCCACTCAGTTTTAAGTCAATACAGCAATGAAAGTGAATGCCAAATCAGGAGCCAGCCTTACTGGATTTTCCAGTCATGCTTCACCACCCTTTCAACCTACTCTTAAAGACAGCTTGAGAGGCTTGGGGCTTTTTGTTCTGCAAAACTGAATCAATTTCATCACCATTCCTTGAAATGATTAGCATTTTCTTGCTGATCAGAAGGTGTGGACTATCCAACAAAAAAAAAAAATGTTTTAAGAATCAAGAGAGTGTTCACCATGATCCTTTAGTTTTGTTCCTGAAGCTTGAGAGCCTCACAGAAAACGCATGTTACGCCCTTCCACAGCCTAGTAAAGGCAGGTTTAATGTGAGGCAAAATAGCTTTTCTCCACGCAATTTCAAACACAGGCAGTATAACCGAAGTGCTGGAAACCCCTTCAACTTTCCCAGAGGCCCACCTCTCTCCCGGTTCGGCGTTTCAGGGGCCCAGCTTTCCCGACGCCAGGTCTCCGCGCAGCCCGAC